TGCTGAGCCCTGAGGGCGACTCGGCTTCCCCTGTGGAGATGGTGGCCTGTGCCATCCCTTCCCTCTCCCGGTGGCAGTGCCGTGGAAAATAGCTGGCTTCCATGTAGGATTCACACAAAGCAAGCTGGAAGCTGGGACAGAAATCTTCCTGGTTAAACCAGTGATACGTGTCCCAGGGCCCTGCCTGGTTTGTTCCACAGCCTGCCCTGTGCTCTCACCGCAAGCGTTAACTAACCCTCGCTTCTCTTGCAGTTCCCCCACAGGACCCCGCGAAGGGTAAACACGTTAAAAACAAACTTTCTCCCTCTCCAGCTGCAACTGATGAGTGTGAAACTTTCACTTGTAGGAATTCAAAAAAAGAAGCTGATTTAAACCTGGCACAGGCTCGTATGAGAGACCTCGATGCTCAGCTGAACGCGAAGGAAGCTGACTTGGCAACAGCTTTGAATGAGAACCGAACTTTGGAGAAGGACCTTCGTGAATTAAAGGATCAAGTAGTCTCTGTAAGACTTATTCCTGCAACTTCAACTTTGCTTTTGCTTGTTACCCCACAAAAAAACAACTACTCAACTAGTTATTAAGATTTAAAAGCAGGGAATGGGCAATGACAGGTGGACAAAAAGATATCAGCAATCTTGCTGAAAGCAAATGCTTCTGATAGTTAGTCTGTTAAAACTTCCACCTGTTGTAGGTATCTTTAATTCTATTCTGTGACCACAATATGTAATGTTTCTTGTTCTAAGGGCAAAGTAAGATGAAATGTGTTGTACTGCTATAGCCCCTCTAGGATAATCTAATGTGTCAGCAAAGGACCCTGCTTCACTATGCTTACATCTAGGTAGAATTAATAAGTTTTGACTATTTTTATAGGCTCTTTTGCTACTAAAATGAGCTCTGCTTGAGTTGCTACTCTATCAATGCATTTCTCTATCGATGTATCTTTATGGTTTAATATGATCACTGAATATGCTGATTTCAAATCTCTAGGATGAAAACTTAAACAAAAAAACCCCAATCTAAACTTGTATTGTTAAAGCAGCACGCTCCAACACTGGAAATAAATAAGTTTGTCAACATAGTTAAGCTATATTTGGAGGGTTCTACTTGTTAAGCATCAACCAAATGATATTGTAAGTTAGGGAGAAGTTTGGAATACTTAGTATTGTGAAGGGGAGGAATGTGTCTGGATGATACAACTGATTCATCAGAAGTCTACTTTCAGGAGTTAACTTGGCTGGTGGGATTAAGGGCTGCTCTATATTTGCCTTGTGAGAAAACTGGTCTACATAACAATTAAATGGGGTTCTTTCTGTTGCTAATACACTGGATCCCACTGAAATATGAACTTAAACAGAGTACCCAGCTACACTTAAGCAGTGTGTTTTGATTTCTGTGGGACTGAAACTGAATTACCTGTAGCAAGTTGACTGTCTTAGTTTGGAAAAATGACCTCTTAATTTTGATTACCCTGATGTTTGTCTTTTCTAGCTGCAGCTGTCACTGGAAGATACTAAAAAGCATCTCCACAGTGAAATGTTGAGGAGGGTGGACCTGGAAAATCATATGAAAACTTTGCAGGAACAAATGATGTTCCAGAAGCGCCTTCATGAAGATGTATGTTTTAGCTTATTGACAAGGATTTTTTTTAGATGTTCATGATCCCTGGATGCACTTAAAAGCAATGTTAAGATGTAATTTATCCTTAAAAAGGTAATTATCTGAGTCAGCCTATGACAGTCCACCAGCCAATAATATCCACCTAACTAGGAAGACTTCAAGAAAGTACACAACCTCATGTTAACTGGCATAATGCCAACAGGTATCTGGAATATGAGATAATTTTCTCAGGCTGCACTTCTGAAGGTAACTACGATCCCAATATACTACTTTGTGTAACTGAAAGTGCATATATTACAGTTAAAGTTAAATGATTCCACATGTTTGCTAGAAGCCTAAAATAATCAAAGTAGTTACATCTCCTTTAATAAGCAACTTATGTTTCCTACTTCCTTAACACTTACTGAAGTACATAGAACTAAACATGTGAATGTAATCCACCTTTCTTCTGACTGGAAAGAATATCAAAGTGTGTGGTTTAAGTGATAGAGAATTCCAGTTTCTCTGACCAACTACAGTTACTTTTTGAATAAAACAAGAATAGGTAAAGTAACAGTGCTTAAAGAAACCGCAGTGGATATGCATGTGTTCTAAGTAAAGCAAAGCAGAAGAATCAATGTAGTTCAAAGAATTAGTCTTAAAATGAAATACAAACTACTGCATTTATTTAAGTAGTGTTGGCTGTGAGGAAGCAAAACAACCTGGCACAGCACAGCTAGCAAGATGGAAGTACCTGACCTAACGGATTAATATCTAAGACCTGAATAAAGATCACTCAATGATAAATCTGCTTCAATATTGAATGACTTGTTAAGCTGGTACAGTAAGTCCAGTCTCAAATCAAACTGTATTGGCTTGCTTATTCTCTGAGAAATTTCTTTTCCTAGGAGCTCAAGGAGACAAAAAAAGCCCATGAGAGCAGGATAACAGAAATAGAATCTGGCCGTCAGAGAGAATTTGAGAGTAAGCTCTCGGATGCTCTGCAGGGGCTCAGAAAAGAACATGAAGAACAAATTCAAGGATACAAAGAGGAGCTGGAGCGAACATTCAATGCAAAAGTGAGTCTGTAAAAGATACAAATAAAACAAAGCTTAAGTTCTCTGCACACTGATGTGATTAAAGTCAGACTAGCAGAAATGGCTGAGTGATGGAGCCCTTGCATTCAGTGCAGAGCTTCTTGGCATAAGTTGTTATGGAATTTCAAAGTGGTGTTAAATCTTACAGTAGAACTTCTCTGAGCACTTGGTCCTAACCAAAACTGGTTCAAGCATAAATACTGTCCCTTTGGGGAGAAATGTAATAAAGTTGATCATAACTTAAACTTCTGACAAATCTGAGTTTGACAAATTCAGGACTAAGGTGGGCTAAGTTTGTATTAAATAATTTGAGTATTATTGAATAAAACTTGATCTACTGATTATAGTTTTACTAAAATGCATGAAATAAGGTATTCTTACAGTTCTACAAGGACACTTTTAAATGTATGAGTGCAAATGTACTTTTCCAGTTGCTAGTATTGGATAAGAGGGAGGGGGTGGCTATGGAAGTACCTTGACAGTTTGTCCTCCAGAACTGGTCTGTTACCTCTTTCCCAGTATTAGCCACATAGGCAGCAAAACATAATACTTCAGGCTCATACTATTGGTAGGTAAGATCCCAGGGGTTTCTGGGCTGGTTGCAGTGTACAGTATTGGTATCTTAAGCCTTCTTTAATACTCAGTGCAGAATCACATGATCTGCTGCTTTTCTCAACAAGTACATGTGTTCATTTCTTCCTAGTTCTGGCTTTCTCTGTACTCCAATTTATATGCCAAGTTGCTGAATTCCTTTGGATGCTTCTGTCCAGATTTCCACTGGGAATTCTGAGAGTGCCTCTTGTAGTAGCATGACTCTACTTTATCCTTTCTTGGAACGTCTCAAGATTGAATTGCTCTAGAAATAACTGTGCTGCTTTAGAACTTTTGGGAAAGAGCAATAGTTTGACAAGCACCCCTACTGCCTTGTAGCCCCATGCTTTGACAAGCAGCTTCTAAACATATTCTCCATTGTTCTTCTGGAGAATCCATTTACTTCATATCTATACAAAGTCTTCATGCATCTGTAACTGAAAATATCCTAATAGTGCCTAATTACTGCTGACTTTTTCTGACTTGAATGTCAAACTTGTATAAACCTCCCTGAAAAGCAATGAAACTTTCTGACCTGGACTTTACTGGTATCTGCACACTTAAGTAAAACACAAATATTTCCAGATGTAACAGCTGGAAATCACTTGGTTTTCCTTCCTTATTTAAAATACACGGTCATAAGCAACTCATTACTAAGAGTGACTTTATCCATAGATGGAGAATGCCCAGATAACTGCAGCAAGACAAAGTGAATTTGCCACTGCTGCTCAGGAGGAGCTGATGGAAACAAAGCTGAAAGTTGATACTCTGACATCTCAAGTTAATCAGTATCAAAGCCAGGTACTATCTTTATTTGTATATCCTTAGAATTATTTTAATTTAGATAATCAATTAAAAATATTGGCCTCTCCTCTCTAATTTTCAGTTACGATTGAATTGATTTTCCCTCCCCTTCATTTTAGAATGCTGCTTTGGAGACCAAAATAAGGGAGCTACAGGAGAAGCTGGATTATGATCGTGACCTTCATCGAAGGCGTATTGCTGAAAAAGAGAGAGAAATGGCACAAGCTCAGGAGCAGGCACAAGCACAGCTGGAAGAATATGAGCATCTCTTAGATGTGAAACTGGCTCTAGATCTGGAAATAAATGCCTACAGAACAATGCTGGAAGGAGAGGAACAGAGGTAGGCTATGACAAGATCCTCATATGAGGACTTGTTTCACCCAAGATCTCTGTGCTAATTAACTGTGTATTCTTCAGAAAGTGGAGGAGGCAAGAAATGAATATTAAGTATGAAATTAGTGCCATGATTTAATTATTGAAGCATAATCTTCTGTAGATGGTATTTATATTTCACATCCATCACATGGTGTAGTAAGATGAAGTAATTTGATAAAACCCAACTGATAAAGTTCAAAGGTCCATTAAACATCCCTCCCTTTCACAAAGCTTTGCTGCATCCTAGAGATATTTCAAAGACAGTGCTCAAGTTTCATGAATGAAATTGGGAAACTGTATCAAATCCCAACTATCCAGACACTGCCTGGTGAGAACCACATGAACTCAATACATGCGAAGAAGGGTCAAAAACTTAAACTACTTCCACTAAAGATTGTGTCTGCAGAGACTTTAAAGGAATATTTATTGCATTTGGGAATCTTTTCTTATCAGCCTAAGCTTGCTCTGAACTCTAGGGCTGGGGCTGTCTTCCAAACTTAACAAGCTACTTAGCTTCTCTTGCCAGCAAAAATAAAATCTTATATTCAAGACCTCATGGAAAGCTTGAATGTAAGACGCTGTTAGGCTTGGCTCTAGTGGGAGGATAGGAGTGAGAAGACATAAGCACATCAGAATTCAAGTTATCTGACTCCCTTCTAGGCTAAAGCTGTCACCCAGTCCATCTTCACACAGCACTGCAACTCAAGGAACAAGTGAAGGGCGACGGTTCCTGTATGGGAAGAAAAGGAAAATGAAAGAAGCCAGAAAGAGAAGGCATAGTGCTGGATTTAAGACTGTTCAGCATGCTGTTTCATCTGGAAATGTATCTATTGAAGAAATTGATGCAGATGGGAAATTTGTCAGGCTTAAAAACAACTCCAGTGAGGTACTCCTATTCATTCAAGTCTGCATGGACTTCACTGCAAAGTATTGCTGCTTGTGAACTGACTTGTAGCTTACAGTGAGAGATGACAATAGGGAAGGATGAAGAGATGAGGGAAGTGTACTGCCAAACTAAACACAAAGTGGGCACTTCTCAGCTAACCTGGCTGTTGAGAGAAGATTGTCTTTAGTATGGCAGGTGTTTTGTCTGGGAGGTGCTTTTGGGAGGGGCTGATGGGTTCTGTAATGCAGAAATCTAACACCTTCAATTGTTTCTCATCAGATTCAGGCTAGCACTTTCAGAAGTACTGGTTACTCTCAGACTAAGGTGCTTAGTAAATTGGATAATGGCAGCTTCTTATTACTTAGAAATGCTTAAAACAGCTAAAATGGTGAATAGAGCTGACAGTATCTAATCCATGTAGAGGGTTTATCTGACCAATTAGATAATTCTTTGACTAGCTGAGCTTGCATATCCAGAATTATTATAATTAATCCTCAGAACACCAAAACTTGTGGCTGGTAGCTTAGCCCCTTCAACCTGAGATGCCTTAAACCTTCACAGGCCACTATGTATGTGTTATATGTATGGCCCAATCAGTAGATGGGCATGGTCAACTTCATTTATCAGAATGTCCCTGGTAAAGAGCATCATGATCCCTCTTCAGCTGAAGGTAAAACAGATCTGCTTAAACTTGTGGGACTAAGATTAATCCTATGGTAGTACTTGGAGAAATCATATGTAGGCTTTAATGGAAACTTGAAGGCTTCCTCAAAATTGATCAGATTCTTGTACGCTACAGGAGTGGGACTAACACTGACCTTTGAGTCTGGAAAGAAGCTTACACTTGTGTGATATGGTATTAGTCTGTAATGCTGAAAGCAATTTCTTGTCCCACAGGATCAACCACTACATGGATGGGTGTTAAGAAGACATCTTGGCAGTGTGTCGGATGTAACATACAAATTTCCTTCACTGTTCACTCTTGAGGCGGGCCAAGTAGTTACAGTAGGTAGTGGCTTTGTAAAACTTACGCAGAACTCTGCTCTTGTTATGTTAGAGGGCAATAGAGATTCATGTAATAAGAAAAAATAAATTGATACTGTAAGTTCCTAAAGAACTCAAATCCTTATTTTATGTGGAGAGGGAGATACCTGCAACAACTTGATCTGAAATGCCAATTAAATTTTCTTTAAAGCTAAGTCTTGAACTTGGATCATCCCAGATTGGGATGCACTGTTATTATGAACAGAATCCATACATTCTAGTTTATTCTTAGGATTCCCCATATTCCTGTGATTGTATAAAAATTATGCAAAGACCTTCATTGTTGCTAAAAGCTTTAGTTCAGTACAGTTCAGCAATGCTGAGCTAAATTATTATCTCTAAAATACTCTTAAGTACATTTGATAGTGATCAAAGAGCCTAATTCTACACTCTGCACTCCAAACCCTGCAAAAGCTTACTTGAGATCTGTGAGTGACCCCAGGCTGCAGGCTATCTTGTGTACACAAATTGCTGGCATAGTATGTTTGTAACTATGGCCTGGCTCTGACTCAAATGGTATGCATGCCCAAGCAAGGCTACCTCTGCATCAGGTAGAAGCTGTTAAGAGTCTTTTCTGCACTGTTTTACAGTCTTCAATGAAAAAAAACCAAACCAACAGATGTTGCCACCATTCTTGGTAGCTCTGAAAAGAACTAACCTGCCAGGGATCATGGTAGTTCAGTTTCTGTTACTGGACGCCTTTGGTATTGTAGTACTTAAGAGTTAGACTGAATCATAATCTAATTACAAGTAAGAGTTCATTCTAAATCTGTTGCAGATCTGGGGTGCAGCTGCTGGTGTAAGACCTGGTCCTAGTGATCTGGTCTGGAAGTCTCAGAAGTCTTGGGGAACTGGGGATAATATTGGTGTTACACTCATCACAGATGAAGGTGAGGTAAGTGAGAGAGTACATAGCTTCTACTGTTAAAATATTAAATTTGTTTGTGCTTAATTCTTGAGGGTTCTTGGTGGCAATTTAATTGTATTCTAGGAACTTGCAGAGAGGAAGATAATTCATATACCTAGAGGAGAAGAAAGTGGTGAGGAAGATGATGATTATGAAGAAATACCTGGAAGTGAAATGGAGCTTCCATCTCAGGTAAGCTGCCCAAAGTTTAAATACATGCTGTCAACAGAATCATTCAGTGGCCATTTCTTTTCATTGCTGGATGAAAATACTTTCCCTGAGTACTATCCATGTCCTACAACTCTTAACATTTTTCTTGATGTCAGACCAAAAGAAGAAGAAAAAAGAAATGTTGTTTGGTTTCATGATAGTTGTTCCTGTGGGCATCCTTAAACAGGTGAGATGGTGAGAATCATGCTTGTCATCTCATACAAAACTTGCTTCATTAATAGTGCTGCAATCTCTTCTCCCATGTGGGATGTAGCTTGCATGGCTTCGCATCAGAAGTGGAATTAATGTTTTGCTTATTCTTTGGCTGAATGTGATCACATGGTAGTGTTAATTGTTTGGTCTCTTACTAATGACACACTGAAAAATACTAGCTTTAATGTCTGTTCCATCTAAACACCTGACTATCAATAAACTTAAGAGCTGTTATCCCAGGAACGGAATGTAAACACTAACTAGAAATATCTTATTTCTGTGGGATGAAGTGACTTATCTGACACTCCAAACAGTGTCCCTGACTTGCTCTTGAGATGACTTAAGTTCACACTGAAGAAACCTAATATTTCCATTCAGAAGTATTAAAAGGCTCAAATCAAACTTCTCACTGTATTGATTGCCTAAGTCCCTCTTAAATTCAAGCATGAGTTTGATGCACTTCTGTCAGCTTGTTTCCAGGAACTTAGTTTTCTTATTTTGCTGTGCAAGAATAAGTATCTCAGCCTTGCTTCAGTCATAGATACTCCCTTCAGTACTTTCCAAGTGGAACTTCAGCACAGATGCAGGTCATGCTAATGGAATTAACATAGTCAAATAGAATAAGCATGTTTTGCCTTCAATATCCTTGTAACTCTTTGGCTCCAATGTGCATGTTGTAATGTTCTGTGAAAGACACTCTGGAGCCTCCAAATAGCTTTTGACTGACCATATTACAAGTCTGAACTTCTGCATATTGGATGATCCTAGTGTACTTTAATATACGAGTAGTCAGGCATCTCTAATTGCTGATGGAGTCTAAAGCAAGGGCTTTAAATACAAGGGCTTTAAATTGGTCATAACAGATCAATTATGGGACTGTATGTGACTCTTCAGTTGGTTTGTTTCTTGACTTGAAACAGCACCAAGTCTCCTTTGCTATTATGAATTCCAAGGCCTTAAGCACAAGGGGATGCCTTGCTAAAAATTCTCTCCCTCCTGCTGACACAGCATGTTGAGCTACTACAGCTCTTGCTAAAACTGATCCTACACAGTTACAAGGAGGACCTGCATGTTATTGCACCAGGTCTTAATTTAAGCCACTACCATTTCCTAGATATTTTCATGATATACCTGTCTGAAAACTTGGAAGTACTTTAGTACTGTCTTTCTGAAGTAAATGTATCAAAGAACAGGCAGTTACTGCCTGCTGCTTGGTTCTTTCCTTGTCCTTCTTTCAAGCAGAAAATTGGGGTAAATATCTATTACTATAATACCATCTGGCTTAAAGATTGTTTATCAAACTCTCCTAACTTATATGCACATTTTTGTAATATTTTCAGCCTCTCACTGAAGGAGGGTGAGACCTTGTTAAATAGGCTATTGAGAAAGGTTCTGTAAGGCTGTTGGGGTCTTAATGTACAGCTTACACCAAAATGGTTGAAGGAGCACCAGGGGAAGCCTTAGGCTTATTAAGAGAATTACTCATACAAGCTTCTCTTTGTTTGGAGTAGAGCTGCTCAAGTTTTTTTCAGAGGCTCTTTATTTGAATTGACTAATAATATGGCTTGTTTGGCAATCAATGATGGGAAGCAAAAGTAACTCTTTTCCTTACACTTCTAATCTGTTTTATTAGCAACTTTACAATACAGTTGTGTGTCACTTATGGTAAGAATCAATTCTCATATTCCCACTCAAATGTTTAATGTCAATCCTGTCTGCTGAATTCCTATCAAATTCCCATCAGTCATTAATACTGATGTGCTTCTGCTGCATTGGTAGTACTGAAATAATGGCAGCTTAGTAAAAGCCAGTTCACTTCTTGCATGCAGTGAAATGATGCAAAGAAAGCATGCTGTGCTTTAAAGGAAGGCAGGGTTTCCATGGGGTTTGCTTCTGCTTTTACCATCCTAACTAGGGTAGCATGAATCTGCATGTCAGTTAAGTTTTGATGCTTCATACTGGGGTACTGATAGATAGCTTGATAGCCTTTCATTAAGGAAGGCACAGGCTCATGTGTTGCATGGACTCAAATTCTTAAAAGCTTGTTTTCTTTTCCCCCTACCCCCAAACCATCTAGTATAGCTGAGGTACTGCCTCTTCTGAAAACCTGCTTTGCTTTTTTAGTAAGTAACTAAATCTACAAAACACTAAAAACCTCACACCCCTATGTGATGATCAAGTAGGTAACCAGCAATAAATATGGTTTGTAACCATGCTAATTAGTCTAATGTCTGGATGTCTTATTCCTGCAGCAAAATGAGGATCCTAGCTGTTTTATCATGTAATATGGACAAAGAGATGATCATCTGAAAACACTTCTCAATCCCAGGTGACAAACTACATGTGTTTTGGTATCTTCTGCAATAACTGAAACTTGGAATTCACATCTCCTATCTGACCTCTTTGTAAGAAACACTGTCCATAAGATGATGAAATTTCCTACCTTCTGATACTGGACCCTGTTTTTGGATTCACTGATATAAAGAGCAGTAGAATACAAGCTCCATGTGAAGTTATTTTTATTTTGACACAAGGATCTGGTTTCCATGACCTGCTGAAACAGGAGGGTACACAGTTTACAAAACTTAAACATATGCTCTAGAAGGATGGTAAATACTTAACAGTGAGTATGAGGCTGCCTCAGCTTTGTCAATATTCTGATACAGTGTTTCTCCAAAGGTAATTTGTTTCAAGCCTGAGTGGGAAACCTACATGGCCCAGATCACACTCTGGCTTGTACTTTGAGCAAGTCTGAACTTGCTGAAGTAAAACACTATCCTGAAGTGTGCTGAGTGTCTGAAATGTTTCCTACTCAGATCCTGATGCTGAAATATATGAAACTGGGCTAGATTGTTTGTTAGAGTGAAGCATTTTAAAATTAAAAGCAAGTTGTAAAAATATTCTTGCCTGTTATTAAATGTACTGTTTCTGTATTCCAGCACCTGGAAATCCACCAGTTTCAGTATTGTATATTCCTACATACAGTATATTGCAGCATAGTTGTGTCAAACTTGGACAGATGTATCCTGTAAATGTGAAAAAGCATCTCATTCCAACCGAGACAGTACTGTAACTAGCAATAGTCTCAACAAGCCAGCTTCTAAGGGGCTAGAGAAAAAACTTGCCAAAACAACAATGGAAACTAGAAAGCACCAACTCTAGTAGAAGATGAATCCAAAATATCTGCTCTTAGAATCCTTATGTTCTAAATCTCTGTGCAGTCTGCAGCACTGCTTTGTGTATGTCTGTTAGGGCAGTTGGGGGAATACTGTCTATGGGTCAGTATGTAATTTACTGGAACTCTAATAGTTCTGTAGTCCAGGTAAAGCCTGACCTATAACCCTGAGAAACCAGGCAGTCAGCCTCTGGGGCCATGCATTGAATTATTCTGTGCCTCTTTGTTGGCTCTGTGCTAAAGAAAGGGCCTTGATGAGCCACATAAAGTGTACTTCTCTAAGAGCATGAGGGGATGGGAGCAGCTAAAGGGAGAGGAGCAACTGAGATTGCAGAGTTCTCCAAATGCTGGAATAGTTTTTTGAAGGATGCAGTTCTGAATTTAAGACTTGCTCTGTGTTGGGATGCAGTTGTTAAGGTGAGGTGTTCCTTACACTGGCTTAAACTCTCTTAAGTTATTTAAGAATTCTAGTTTTGAGACATCAAGACTAGATGCTGGTTTAATACTTGCATTTTAGCAGATCTGAATTCTGTTGTCCTTCATGGCCCACATATAGATGCTGCTATAACCTTGCTATATTTATCTTGATTTCTTAAACTTTTTTAACTATTAAAGATATTTTTTGTGTATATAAAAGCAGTCTTGGATTTTTAACACTGGGAGGTTAAATAATGAAGTTCTGCTTGTTCATTGGTATTTTTTTGAGTGGCTCAACAGACTCTGAAGCAATAAAACTGGTGAGTTGAGGGAACCTTCATAAATACAGAGTGCTGCCCTGTTTATATGTATCACTCAGTTTTTCAAATAAAGCTGAACTACTGTGAATTTGATTTAAAACGAATCCTCAGTATTTCAAATGAAACCTTTTCATTGTATAAGGGGAAGATGCTATTAAGCAACAACCATGAAAGATTTGATCTAGTGTACAAGTCTATATAGGAAATAGCAGTGGTACAGGATGGTGGTTGGTAGCACCAAAACCAAGATCTATTTACTTCACTATACAACCTACTACCCAGTTTTATGAAACTTGTTCCTAGCATGCAGTCTTAAAATGGCAGATAGTAAAGAACCAATTCTGTGATGTGCAAATTATCTTCCTGATAGCAAACCTTAAAAGACAGTTGGTTTCCCCTGACCTCTCTATGTACTTTATCCTAATCACTACCAGTGTAGCTGTCCAGCTTACTACTTTAGCAATAGCTGTTTCTGGTGGATGTCTCATCTATTGCAGCTGACCACGGCAAGCTGCCTGCTATAAAGTGTATTGAGAATTCAAACCTTTATATATATATATATGTATGTATGTGTACACATATGTGTGCATATGCAGTTCTTTCCTCTAGGGAATTCTGGTGAGGTAGAAAAAAAGACTTAAATGCTTCTTGCCTGCTATGGAATGGTATGACTCTCTGATTAAAGGGGGGGGGAAAAGCAAAAGCAGCTGTGAACCCCAAATACTTAAACCTTTGAAAGCTGTCCCACACTTTTTTTTTTCAGAACATCATAGCTACTTTCACTCAAAAACTAGGTAAGGGTGAGTTACTCTTCCATATTGCTGTTCTAATAACTACTAGATACTTGCCCATGAATTGGGAAAAGGGCTGATAAATTTGCTGCTTTCTGAGAGATTGTGCCCTAAATAGCAGGCTGGATCATAGCTGTAAACAATAACCCTCTACTTCTCTTGTCAAGGCCAGAGATAAGAAAAAAGCCATGGTTCTGAGAGCCAGTTAGGGGCTAGTTATGCTTCTTAGATGGAAGAGTTACCACACCTGTGATATACATGAAATTCTTTCCTCTCTAGGGAATGCTGTTTCAACTGGACTACAGAACCAAGTAGAGCTTGAAACTCTGAAGCTGGATTCAAGCCAGTTTGCCCATAAAGAGGTCAGCTCCCTTCTCATTGCTCTCTGTCTTGAACAGAGAGCAATTGGCAAAAGATTAACCTTCCTCTGGGGCTGCTGATTGTTTTGGTCATTGTTCCATTGACACTTACTAAGCAAAGCAGGAGAAGGATAACAAAACCAAATTCATTCTCTCTTTGTTTTGATAGTATTCAGATGCCTGAGTCTGTCCTGCACTTTGAGGTTTGTTGGTTGGGGGTTTTTTTGCACGTTTTTAGTTATAGCATGTCTTTCCTTCTCCACCTAGTCTTCTTTCTGCTCCACCTCCTTCAAATAAATAAAAAAGCAGATGTGTATTACTTCTCATTTGTTTGCAGTAGTTACCAGTAATACTCACCTATTTATTTCAGTGAACTTCTATACAAACCCTGTGGAGCTGGGATCAGCTTGTACTTAGTTCAAAGTAATTTTTTTCTTCTCCACATGCTAGAAGAAAATTTTCACAGATATTACAAATGCTACACAATCAGTAGGAAGAGAGCAAGATTATTAAAATTCCAGTGGCTGAGGTGTCATAAAACTAATACTTTGGCTTTTTTCATGCATTTTTAACATAGCATTGTTTTTTTTTCACTGAAAGCAAATACATTTACCAAAAGTGACCTCCAGCTCAAAAACAAATACCAGAACTACAGGAATAGAAGCAGCAACCACTGTTCTTACCCCACAGAAATATTTATTCAGTTTTGTCAGTAAATTATAGGAATTTTCAATGCTGAGAACTTGTACTTAGTACAACATCATCATCATCATATTGACAACAACCACTTTGCCTTTTGTCAACATACACTGTGACACATGGATATTAACTTGCTCACAATAAATTACAGTGTGATAGATGAAAGGAGCCTAAGGACATCAGTAACTTAGGAACTGGTTACAGTTAGCGTCACTCATGGTATTTTTAAAAATTGTTTTCAATAGTAAAATCATTGCAGCCAAAGATAAAAAAAATCCATGTACAATAATAGCAAGGAAATTCGGTTTTGGAGCAACAGTGAGCTACCAGTAAACACTTCAAACAGTGATCTTCAAGGCACAAAGCAAAAAAACTGGGTATGGGTTTTTTTGCAGGTTGATGGAATCAGGGAAGGTAAAATTTTTTTGAATATAAAATAAATACATTTTAAAAAGACGCATACAAAAGTCAGTAAGTCAGTCAAATAGCAAGGCTTTCACAGAATGCCACACTGACAGAACATTTGTGAATCCATTTCAGTCATGAAATCACATTCACAGCTTGAATGACACAATCACTGAGGCAAGGGAACCATCACTTCAACATAATTAATGGGGAAGAAGCCAGACTCTCCATTTAACATCCCCTCATACCAATTCTCATCAATCTGATTGGTCAAAGTTATGATGTCCCCTTCCTTAAACCCAAGCTCGCCTTCGTTTTCTGGCTCAAAGTCATAGAGAGCTTGGCAGCAAGGCTGATCCATGTGCACTGAAGAACCTGCCCCAATGACAGAAAAAAGCAAACCATATTAATAGAGCTTCACAGCATCCCACCAGCCACCAAACGTAAAGCAATGGGACAAAAAACAGTCCTGCTGTCATGAATTTCTCCCTCCCCCCACGATAGTTTTTCCATTGCTTTCATCTATTAACATACTGTCCTTCTAGATATAAAAAACCTTCCATATATAAAAAAATAATACTGGTGATAATTAGTTTAAACCATAATTCTGTTTCTCCCTTAGGTTCAGATGCTACCCTATTTTCATCCCTAGTTGCCTTCCCTTTCAGAAGGATGTTTATCTCAAACTGCTAGTTTGAGTAATCAGAATTGGTGGTGGCTAGAGGAAGTGGAAGGTTAGGAGTGAAGAAGTAGAAGAGTCAACAGGAGAAGTGACAAGTAATCATTGAAACAAACTGCACCACAGCAGACTGCTACTGCCAACACCTACCAGAGGTCGGGGCTCAGAGCCAGTCCTAGAACACTCGCCCACAGCCTGGGGGCAGCCACCTGGATTTTCCTGCTACAGTGTGTTTGCAGGAGCAAGGCTTCCACCCTCACCTCACTCGAGCAGTGACAGCTCCTGCGTTCAAATCCTTTGTTGTACATACCCTTCATCTGAACTAAAGCAAAGGTTATGCCAGGAACAATGGTACCTGTCAAACTATTTTATAGATGAAAGTGGTTTTCCGATACAGCATCTGGCTCTTGTGACTTAACACTGTTTGCCCTGCTATAAAAATCTTCATTCCAAATTACTCTTTTAAAATATCAATGGTACCATATGCAAATATAGTAGTAAGTACAGATATTTACAGGAAAACAAGTAAATATAAATATAAATTAAAGTACAAAACAATCGCTATTAGCAAAATAAGTTAACCTTGTAAATGCAGTCACCTTTTCAAAGATATTCTCATGAAGGGGCGTAATTGCCTTGGATTTGTGGTATGGATACATATGCGAGTTATTATTTAATTCATATTTATTAATAATAACTTATTTAATAAAATGTCATCTAATGTTCAAATTGTAAAGCTTAGCTCTGTGGCCAAGGACAAGCCAGAGGTTCAACTGAAGTTCAGCCATAACAGATTTTGAAGAACATATACAACATATCCAAGTAAAAGTCTGATAATTTAAAATATATTTATAAAGGAAGCAGAGGAGAAAAAACTTCATGCTGCTGCTATGTAAACAGTAGTAAAACACATTATAGTATGGCAGAGAACTCCAGAACACTCTGGTATTATGTTAAAGCAGTTAAACCTCGTAACTGCTAAGTTATTGAGCTTGTCTTATTTGCAACATTGCAACGATTCTCAGTCTAGTCTTGACTCTCCCCCAGCTACCACACCTTGAAGAATAATTTTCTTCTGAGTAAATCTGCACACGATTGGTAATGCAATACAGATATAATAGCTAAGATGTTAAAAATGCATACAGAAATGCATTTTAATCTGCTAATGATGCTAGTGGGCAGGAAACTATTGAAAAGTAACTGTTCAGGCATTGTCTAGTAACAGGAATTGGGATAATTCTCTTCAGGAAACCAACTGACAACTGTTCTGGTGATCAGTAAAGGAGAACAGGTGAAGGCATCTTTTTAATTGACAGTAATACAATCAGGGATAATATTCGGTGTTAAACCAAATTCAGAAGTAGGAATTACTTTTCTATATTGTGGGTATGTTTTATCCTTTATAACATCAGAAGAGAGCTTTTATTTATAACAATGGAAGAGAGCTGTTAACACAGAGATCTCCCTCAGCAAACCTCCCCAGAGCATTGCCGGAACAGTGCTGGACTAGTCCTCTGCCTGTGGAAGGCACAAGGTGGTGACAAAGTTTTACAAGAACAAACCGAATTATAGCTAGTCTAATACAATGACACAGGTGAAAGCCTGGTTCTGAACATATTTTTGCTGAAACAGTCCAAACACAAGAAAGAAGATAAACCACAGTTTCCCAACAAAAATGGACTGATTGCATTCAAAAATAGCCGAGTTATTTTCAGTCTTTACCAAGGTAGAACTGGTACCAGCTCACTGGAACTGTCAACAGCAGAAGGCAGCACTCTGAATAATTGACAAAATTTCTTGCTTTCACCAGCTGCTCTGATGGGGCTAATTATTCTTGCAAGCCAGTTAGTTTCTGACAGTAAGGTACCTGATATGAGATGGATCACATTTGGTTCATTTTAAGCTCCAAAGAACTGAAAAGAAATGTCTGGCAGCCTGGAAAGATTTTTAAATAATGGTCACAGCCAGTACAAGCAGTTTCAGTTCAGGCTGCAGGATCAGTCAAAGTCTTCATTAGAGTCAGGCAGCTGCTGCTACTGTATAATCCAATGAGACAAACCTTCCCTGACAAAGGTAATGGGGGCAGCGCTGCCTGACAGTCAGCAACACACACTTTAACATCACAGAAATGGTGACATGATTCCAGCCTTTTCCTGTCTATTAAATCCTTGCACATCCTTTCCCGTTGCAGAGATTTATGCTAAAGAAATTGCACTCTCTTTTTTTTTCCTGCAAACAGGGTTTATGTTAATTTGCAACACCATGCATGACTCCTTAATTTTTCCGGTTGTGCAGCTAAACTGCCACACTTCCCTGTCACATTCAAAGATGACTTGTCATTAATGTCACCACTCAAACCTGGACAGCACAAAAACCACCACAAAAACAGGTTAAGCAAGAAGCTGTCTGTGATTTCTGGAGTGTTACAGAATGAAACCAGAATGCCATTCAATGCTGGTTTGCTTTTTGGTTTGGTTAGTTGGTTTCCTTCCCCAAAGGGAGTTAATGTCTGTACCTGCATCTATTATGTCATCCAGACCATGCTGTATGCAATTGATAGCAAAATTGTACTTTAATAATCACAAACTAGAGCCTTGCTAAGATAATTAATCCAAGTCTCCTTCACAGCTGATGTTAGTAAACATTTAGATGCTTATGTTAAATTCTAGCACTTGGCAACCAGACCCACTTATTCTGTATCATAGTAAAACCTGACAAACAAAAAGAATTAAAGGCATGACATAACACAGCATTTAAAGAGTTCTAAAATGAGCCAGATGATTCTCATAGCCATGATTAATGAGGATAACAACGAATTACAGCAAAAGCACAGATTTGTTATCTATGGTTAATCAAAGCAGCTAAATAATTCACAACATTAAAATGATGTTTCTGTGAATCTAGCCCTGCAAACATGTGCAAGTCATTAGTAGTAAATAATCCTCATGTGTTAGGGATCATACAAAGGAAAATACTATTTCTGCTCCAAGAAGCTGATATGTAACTTGAAAAGCTATAATAAAACACAGGAAAAGCCATTTCAACACTCAGACCTGGACTGTGGTAGCTCAATGTATCTATCACAGCTTGCTTTGAACTGTCCTATTGATTTCCATGAGTTTGCTGAATACTAAGATACTACTTACCTTGAGTGACCGCATCAGAAATTAACGGTCTACATTTTGTTAGGGTCAATGTGTAAATAAGGGAAATTAAGCATGAAAGTACTTGTTTGTGTAGGATGAAGACGTCAGTTTTCTAAATGAAAAAAGGTGATCATGATGTTATCCCTCCCATCACATGGAAACTTTAAAAGATTTAGCTGTTTTGCTTAGAGCTGCCTGGATCACATTTCTAAATCACAGACCATAAATCTAATCTGTTTCATGATTCTGATTTTAAACAGGAACAGAAAGGTTTCCTCATTTACAAGCAGAGCATATTGAGCCCACTGCAGCTCCATATGGATAACTTTCAAGTATGGATCAGGAAGAGAAAGAAGAGAACGAACAATGATTTCGCTGACGATTGTACCTGCTGGGGAGGGTAAGCACAGCATCCACAGCTGCTTCAGGAGGAAAAAAATCACGATAGATGATCTTGATGATATTATTAGCCACACTAAGCGTAGCAAAAATTATTAAATATATCCCATTTCATCTCTTTCATGGTTGTTTTATTTCTTTTCCATTCTGACAGCACTGAACCAAACAGTAAGTGAAAACCCATCAGTTAGTGATATGCACGCAGTTGATGCAATAGTCCATGAATGGAATCAATGAATGGAAATGGCTTGCTCCTTCCTTATCTTAGTGATCAGTGATCATTTATTTTTTGTTCATTCACTGGATTTTAGCTCATTAAAACTGGCGTTTTTCTTTAACTAAGAGTCAGGGAGCAACCTTGAGAATTCATCTAGTCTGTCTTTCTCCTGGCAGCAGGACTGATTACCCTTAAAGGATATCTTAGATCAATTGCTTCATGGCAGTGATAGAGCACTATAATATGTGTGCTGTTTTATCTCTGGTTTGCTGCACTAGTTTATATACATATACCGAATCCAAATCTCCTTTCTCTGCTGCACATGCAAAGCAGAAAAAATAAAGCCTATATAACTTGACAAGTAATTGATAAGAGCCTAGAAATCTCATGCTGAATTTTTAATAAAGGTTGCTGTGTTTTTGTTACTTTCATCCAGACGTGCCGTGAAAATAATTAGAAAGTTACTGCTTGCTGCAAACATCGCCAGTGCTTTGAATGAAATGTGTCCTTGCATCACATCTTAGGAACCAGTGGTCTGAACTGAGAGGAATGTGCAAAGAGGGGTTTGTCTCTCTCTATCCCACATTTGACAGCAACACAAAACCGAAAAACGCTCTTAGCTTTCAGGCAACATGGGGAGCTTCACTAACACACCCTGAAGTAGCCTGAAGCACAGAAGAAACAAATTGAGGAATAAGATCTTGCTGGGTGGATTTATGCTGCCAAAGTGCTGCAAATCCCCCTCAGTGTGGCTTGTATAATAGCTTCACCTTGTAGCAGAGTGCAAGAAAATTAGAAAGATATTAGAAGGAGCATGATGTTATAGCTCCAAGCTTTATTCTTTCACCTTGACTTCTCTTATTTCTCTCCCAACAACCTTTAGAAAGGAACAAGACTGGAGGGAAGAAGAAATTGGAGAGTGCAGGTAAAAATTTTTTTAAAAACTTCAGAAAAAAATCCTAGATACTATGCCAAGTAGCGAAGGGAAACTTTGGCTCACTGCTGCCCCTCTATATTCCTTAAAAATAATGGTTACAGAAAAAATTGGCTTTTTCATTCTGTTTTCTTTGCATATTGTTGTAATTTTTTTTGTGTGTGTGGTTTGGGTTTTTTTTAATTGGTCTTCTACACACTGTAGACATTAAGAAGACAGGACAAAATAATTTTATTCATGAAATAAGAAAAAGCTACTTCAATGAGTAGTGTAACCTTACTAATTATCATCCACACAACTTTCAAAGACTTTCAACAGTTGATTTTTTTTTTTTTTTTTGTGGAATCAGGGCCTAATCAGAGGAAGGGATCCTACCCCCACACCAATAGATACTTAAGTACTTCAGTTCATAAATGTACACACTTTGGTGCATACTTTAGGGGACAGTAAAGTAAAATGTGCTCATAAAAACAGTAAGGGTGGAAGTCATCTCTGAATTTTATATGGCTAATAGTTAAGATCCCGAGTACTGATTATTTATGGTCTCAGAGAAATTAGCATTTGGAGATATTCCAGACAGTGATCTAACACACCCACCTTAACGCATCTGTCTTTGCAAGAAATCAACTGTTTTCTGCAAGTGCCTCTCCCTCTCTCTCCTCCCACCCTCAGTGGCAATACCTGACCTAAAAGACCAAGCAGAATGCCACACTTAAATTTCAGATGGGCAAGAGACTGTTGAGAGGAATCCTGCTTCACAATTCCATTTCCAAATCTGGAAAGCAAACTGGAGTCAGATGCAGGGATACTGATGCCTCATGGATCCATTATTCTCATGGTACAAGCAACACCTCAAGCTCAAGGAACAATCTGGCAAAGCATCCATCGACATGTTAATTCTGTGTCCATAGGCTTACCTGATGATTTTATGGAAGAACTATAGGCAATCCCATTGTGCTGCTCATTATCACCAATTTCCAGAGTTGTCGTTATTACAGGCTTTGGCTTAAATTCACGTTTAGGCCGACTAGATGCTACATTTATTCTAGAACACAGAGGAGAGTAACAAGAAATTTAGGTAAAGGAAGGGCTACTTACAGAGCTTCCACTCAGGCTTAGCACTTTGGTGTTTGAAAGGTGGGGAAAAAAACCCTTCTGTTTTGGTTTGGGGGGGGTAGGAGGGGTGTGGAAGGAGGGCAAAAGGGCAGGTTTATTCACTAAAAGCTCCTCAATTCTCCTGCAGTATTTGAATTTCAGCACGTCCCTATTTTATTTAATGCTTTGGTTCTGCTGACAGAGGCATAAAGCCTAACAGCCCGAGTTTGAGAAGTGCTGAGTATCCACAGCTGCCACAGAGTTCAGCAGAAGTTCCAGGAATGAGCTTCCTGGAAAGCTCAACTGCAAATGACATATGCAGAAACCCAGCCAGGACAGAGGCCCAGGGACTGCATCTCACACATTGCCTTTTTATTAGAGAAAATGGGAAACAACCATTTGGTCAGCAACAACTGTCTCAATATCTCTTCCTGTGCATGCACGTGCCCCAGCTGAGACCTCCTTGTCTCACTGGCCCCTCCAGCTGAGATGGTGCAGGGTGTCTACAGACACAGCCACCCCTATGCTAATACTTAGGGCCACCATGTCCACCCTGATCTCAGGAAAGCCCCAAACAGTTATTTCAACTCCATGACTGTAATGGTAACCTGTGCTATGGTGACATTCAGGTTATTTACATCTCCTGTTCTCTGCGTCACGTGTAACACATTAACGACAGCAGCATTTTTTTCTTCTATTAGGATGACACAAAGTATCTGGGCCTTTCCTAAGTGCATTACACCACAGCTTATGTTCCTAGCCAGCTGGCTATTTCCTTACTCTGCTGCCTAATTTTGTTATACCCCTTAATCTCAATGAAAATAGGCCAACTTCTTAGCAAAGCTTCCAAAACACAACTCAAAGCATGCAAGTTTAAATAAACCTACAAAAAAAATAGAGGCTCTCCTGATTAACCTCCACAGATGTGAGTGAGAGATTCTGCACACACTCAGCTTTCTGGGCAGATGCTGCGTTACATTAAAGGCTCGCAGCGCAGCAAGAAGTTGCCAGGTGGCAATGGTTTAAAGCAATGAAGTCCAGTAAGGCACAGAGTGCAGCAAATGTGCATCTGTGAGATGGTGCTACAAGATCTGTTGCTTCAGTGACTCTTCACATTTATGAACCTCAGCTGCAAAAAAGGTTCAAAGTTTTCTGATGGATTCAGTCTTACCGGTTTTGCAGCTTGCTCTGCAGATCCTCCAAAATTTCTGAGGATTGTTTATGGTAATCTAGTGCTGCTTCTACAAACACAGCCAACTGGCTAACTTGTTCTACCTGAAATATAGAGAGGAAAATAGTTGTAAGGAGTCTGCAGGACATTCAGCTGAAGAATAAACAAACATCATTCAAAACAGACCTGGTATCTCAAAAGACCATGATACCTTGTGGATACTATTAAAAAAGAGCATATGTGATTCTATCACAGAAATTGCCAGTTGGAAACTGAACAAAACTGAGGTGTAACTTCTAGTTCACTAACACAGGGCTGGGTCCTTGAGTCATTTCCTTTCACAATGTGCAAATCCCTTCTGCTTTCAACTTCCAAGCCAGCTGTCTGTCAACACTCAAGCCTGAAACAGTTAAAAGGACATGACCCCTTAGCAGGTGAAAGAGAGGCTTTTCTGATCAGTAATGTCAGAAGAAATTACCCTGTGACAGCCCTTATGACTCAGACCCATTAGTGTTTATTAGCAATGTTTATAAACTACAGTTCTGAAATTATCTGGACTTACCTCACTAGGTGGCAGCATTTAGAAACCAATAAATGAAACATTTATCTACTTGGATTTATAAAGTATCAGCCAACCATTCAAAAATATGAATGCTGAGGAAAGGGAAAATGTGAAGAAGAAAGAAAAATCAAAATGTTTTTATTCACAAGGTAACAAATAATCTCATTCTCTTAACACAAACTGAAAAGTTTAAGCTGTACTGGGAATGGAGCAGTAACAGGTATTTATTTGTCCTCTTCCTTTAAGACAACATTAAGAAGACCCCCAAGAAGTCTGACATGTTTCCATTCCATCATGATGTATTCAGACACTGGATCACAAGAAAATATCCAAGTAAAACTGTCTGCAAATGTTTTATGGATCTATGGCAATTTTGTGCTATACTTTGTCTGCTTTTACTTGGTTAAAAAGATTGTTAGAAATTCTGCTGGGACTGCAAGAGAGCCAGACCTTGTCACATGGCATACAGAAATGAAATTCACAGAACCAAATCAACAGTTGATACAATTCCATCACAATCAGAAAAGAGTTAATGTAAACCAGCTGAGGATGATGCACAAAGTGTTTAGACAGGGTGGTCGGAGAAAATGGATAGACAGAGACTGTCCAAACAAGACGACTAAGAGCCTGGAGGGATATGAAAGTGTGGGTTAGGAGAAGAGAGAGACTGGGAAAGAGCCAGAGAAACTTGAGGGACTAAAAGCCACTTAACAAGAGAAGCCTGGGACCAGCTGAGTGGGAAAGGCAGGAAGATGGATCTGATAAAAAGTGCATGCAACAGTGTCTATGTGGGAGGTCTGGAACTTGCTCTGCAAAAACCTGAGAAAGATACCTGGTTCAGGACTGAGCCTGGGAAAGGCACCTGGCAAGGTGGCTGGGAACCAGGGCAAGGAGACCAAGAAAGGGAGACATTTGGGGAACTGGAAAGGATGGGAAGGAAGCAATTGCAGTTCAGATCTCTGCAAACCCAGTGAGACAGTCTGGGGTCAGACAACAAGGCTGTAATGAGAAGTTTGAGGAGGACAGACAGACTGGATCAACAAGGAAAATGGAAGGGAAGGAGCACAGACTTTTCTTTAAACAGCAGCCATAGAAAGTGGGTATGGAAAAAAAACCTCAGTGAGAAATACAGTTTGCTCCCTCCCAAAGGCAGATTAGTTAGACTATAACGTATAACTCATCAGTTCTCTAGTGGCTCAGCTAAACCATTTTAATCCATGCATGTTTTATCCTCAGTTTGGTGCTTTAACTAATGATAATGATTGAAACATTTCTCAGCTGCTTATGCAAGGCAGAATTATAAAACATATACACTGCAACCGAGCAGTTGGTAGAGCCTAGAGTGGAACAGCGTGCTGGAATTGCTGATAGAGGATATTACAATTTTTGTTGCCCTCATAGAACTTGCACTGGTAAAACAGCAAGAGGCTTCCTGACTTACACACTGCTGCAACCAACATGTCTCACTCACAAACAGTTTAGGAGCCACAAGCTAGTTTATAACTCGCCATTACACGGGTGTGCATAGAGGAAGTAGTTGCTTGCAGTTAAATATTCCCACTTAACAGCTCCTCCTTGTTGCAAGACAGCACACTTCTTACTTTGTAAGTGTGTTTTCTGTGATGCTGCATCTAAAGGAGAAGAGAAAGCTTTGGAATAGGCCCAAATAGGTCTGGTTCTCTTTTCCTACATTTCCATGATTACACGGGAGAATGCACATCCTGCTATTCCTCTGTGTGTGGACAGGAGAGAGTGTTATCCTGAATGACCACAGCTGCTCCTTATTTAGATATAATTTCATGATGGACTTAGACTCTGAGCCAAAGTCCAGGTACCTGAGCCCAAGCCACAAACTCACTCTATGGAGTAATTTTCAGAGCCAAATAGTAGTAATAATGATTTTCAGAGGTAAAATCATTCAGATTTCAAATCAGCAGTAAAAGTTTTGACTATAAGTTAAGAAATTCAGAAAGCATTGGGTACATACCCTTGCTCATAGTTTCAGCAGCAGTTTTGTGACTATATTAATCTCCCAACCTTCTCCCTCCTACTGATCAAACTGCATTCTACTCTCAGATAGTTCATTGTTCATAGATGATAAAACTGCTTAAGACCTCTGTGACAATCTTGTCTGAGCCACTGTATCTCCAGAAGAAATTCCTGAATTCTTGAGTTCTCCCATTTACAGCTGTGCATTATGTTCCTCTCGGACAGGAGGTGAAAAGAGGAAAGAGGCATACTTCCTGCTTTCAGACCTTACCTCTCATGAAGGATGGGACAGGCTTTATCCAATCCCACACACATTGCCCTCCTGGATGTACTGCAGGAAACAAAAAATGCAGGACAGACTTACATCATTTTCTAAGAAATTGAACATGCTTCTTTCAGCCAGTTCCTTTGACTCTTCAAATTTTTCTACTGCTTGTTTAACTTCTTCATCTGGTATCTTTCCAAGACGCTTCTTTTTATAATCATAATCCAAACGGCGTCCTTCTAGTTTCTTCAAATGATGCTAAATAAGACAGAGCATTTATAAGAAGGTCCAAACAGGACATGCCCAAACACACACAGTGATTTAAGGAAATTTTGGTTATGGATGCAAAAATATGCAGAATCAAAGAAATACAGGGCTCAGAAACTATCCAGTCCATCCCTTTGATCTAATGCAGCATCAGGTAAGTCTAGGACTATATACATGAATTAAATTTTAAACTGTATAGACTTTAAATAAAAGGATTTGTTAACACCTGGGGAAATGGCTATCTTGATTTGCTAAGCTTAGGCAGCCAACTCAGACTTAACTATATGTTCAACACCTCAGATTATCTAAATGAGAAGCAGGATCCAATCTAAGTATGTGTGTGTCCTAATATTCTATATTTAATTCAATTTTACTTCTTGACTTGTTTGCAACATGACAGCTAAAAGGTAAAGGCTTATTTTCCCCTCTCATTCCATAAGCAGTGCTCCAACAAATCTTGTATTCTTGCTTTCTTTGTTAGGTGTCAACTTGACACTTCTATCTGATATAACTACACAAGCTTTTCTGTTGCCAAAAATCATGGGACTGACAGACTTACAGAATGGACTTAAAGTGACAGCAGAAAATGCTCCTTAAAGCTAAAGTCAAACAATTTCATCAGTTCAGAAGAAATATAACTGAAAACAGTTATGTATCATAGGAGACAGCTACAGACATCAAGACATTACGTGTATCTTTTTGCTATGCTTTCCATACCCATTTATGTGTAAACAAATAAACTAACTTTCATTTCTGCATCTCATCAGTTTTAACTTGCTTATCACCCAAGTTTATTGGAATCAACACGCTCAGACAGAGACTGGCTTTCTTTCAGCTGGCACACTGTAAACAAAAGCACTGAAAATCTTAACTCTAAAGGTTAAAAATGTGTTCCTCAGCTTCCTATATTTTTCCTATAGCAGCATATGGCACTTCAACATCTTATGGCACTTTTCAGATCATTCTGTGACTGCCCTGAATAGCCTTTTTCAACAGTTGTATTCATCCTCCAACGCCAAAGAGCTTTAGGCTGACAAATACAGCAAGATAGGATAATCAGTCGCAGTAAATCACAGCCCACTCAAATGTTCACAAGAATTAATAAAAATGTCAGTTAAAAAAAAATAACAGAAAACCAAAGAATATAATTTTTTTCACTCTCCTTCTTGTACTGAATTTACAAGCAATATAGCAAATTGAGTAAGTTAGACAAGTAAGAAACAGCCAGGCATTGACTTTAAGCAGGTTTCATCACTGTTTTGTTAGACAGACAAACTTAAATGCAGTTAAGTTATTTACCTTATTGCTTTCAAGAAAAATGTCTCAAGGAAGTAGAATTCGATTGACTCTGATTACTGATAAGTGAAGCTTCACCCTGGAAAACTTACCCCAATCTCTTTTAAATCTTTGTCCTGCAATAACTGTAGAGGATCAATAAAATTTTGTTTGACATTAATATCAAGTGAGTCCTTCACCTCTGCCATTTGCTTCATGCTCTCACCAGCATCCAGTAGTGCGAGGCCTATGGTAAAGAAGAGGCTACTTATATCTCAATACATGTAAAACCAGAAAATTTGTCTTATGAAACAGCTATTTCAAATAGGTATCTTTGTATCTGCTGCAGGCCCTTTAAGGGTAAAAATAATGCAGGCTATGCACTTGCCTGTCCCCTACAGAAAACTAGAAATGGAAAATTTTTGTTCCAAAGTATACATTTTCTCTTCCCTGAAGGGTATCAGGGGAAAAAAATAAAACCAACTATTTTCCCTGCTGTATTTGCATAGGTTACAAACCTCCTCCACTTTGAGAACTGCAAACCAAGCTGATTAATTTGTACAACTTTAGTGATATTATTAAATACACAAAAAGTGAGTAACTTCTTAATCACCAAATAATGTTTTACAGCTTCCTCACATACAGTGTGCTTTTTTTTCCCCAAGCCTTTTGGTCAAAATTGTTGCTGCTTCTTTAAAACCGCCTATTTAGCATAGCTGTATACTTTATTAAGCATGTAAGTATCACCAGGCAGAACAGTGTTTGAAATGTTCTTTCCCCTTTCTTAGTTTCATTTAGTACCTCTGCCGCTTTTGCAAAAACACCCAGCTCACAGATGAGTTGTGCCACTTGACTCTGTGAGGAGAATAAATGAGTCTTTAGCTATCAGCAGCATCTTTCCCTGTGCAGCACTCACTTGGGCTCGAGCGCAAGGTCCCTACGCCTACATAGCTGTTTCTATTTCAAGACAAGCCCTGTGTGTAAAATTGCAGATATTAACCACAGTACATAACAAAGCCAGCTAGTTCTGTATTGGCTTCTGCACGCGGTCCCAGCCCATACCACTCACTTCTAGCTCTACTCCCCTCTCTTTCCCCAAACCAGGATTCTCCTTTTCTCATTTATTTCTCCCTGATTCTCTCTCTAATCCCAGCCATATCAACAAGCACCCACTGAGTAGCTCTGTGACAACACTTCAAATCCATTCCAGTCAAGCCCACACACTATGCATGCTCACCAAGCAAGGCCTCTAGCAAGATTTTGGCTGTGAAGTACCTATGTATCTTGAGAGGAAATAGGTAAGGTTTGCTTTACCAAAGAATTGTAGCATGGCCAAGCTATAGTTCATTTTCATGAAAACAAGAATATGCATATTTAAGCTGCACTGCTCCAAAGCAAAGAAATACCAGATCATTATTTTTAAAAAATAAAAAAATTAAAAAAAATAAAGCCCAAACCAAAATCATCCAAAGTTACTGGTTTGGGGTTTTTTTTAATGAGAATTTTTTTTCCTTAGTTTACTTCTCAAATATAGGGTAACCATTTTTATTTAAAGGTTAAAGAAATACAGTGCATCTAAGAATCACCCTAAATTATTTAGGTTTGGCAACTTAGAAACTAAAGTGGTTATGGTAATAACATGAATCATCAGATAGCATCAGCAGTAGTGTTTTGAAATCCACCTGCAATAGAGGTAGACAAATATGCAGAAGCATCATGTTTTGTTAATTATATCAATCACCCCTTGATCACTACTGCACTTAACTTGCCCTCTTACCTGCAGTAGCTATTTACATAGGTTATGTCCCTGAGTAACATTCTGCAAAGAACTTTATGCTGAAATATTCACAGAGGAGATACACAAACTCACCAAACATAGAATCATCGCCAAGCTCTCTGCCATACCGTATCATGCAGTCTCCTAGGAGTCCCTCTGTCTGGGGATAGCCTGTGGTTTTCACTTGTCCTCTGATCTTTGACATAGTGTTCAGCATTCCCAGCTTGGCTCTGTATGCTAAGGACATAAGAAAAGAACAAAAGTTATAAAAACACTTTTAAAACTAATATATTCAAAGCAGTAAATCATTTAACAAGCAATGTTATGAAGCAAGTCACTAAGCTGGTCTGTAGATTCACAAGTTTTTTGTTGTCAGTACTTCACAGTCAGAAGTTGAAATAAGATTCCATTTAACAATATGGGTCATATGAAACTGGTTTTTATTCCCAACTGAATGAGCATCATTTCTCCAAGCAGATATATAATGGGAGAGCTTGTCATCTTCTGTGGATATTCACCAGAACTCACATTCCTTTGAATATTCCTTCTTGTGAACTCCTTGATTATAAGTATTGCAGAAAGCAAACACAGAATAGATACAAACACAGCCAAAGCCAATTTCATGCTCTCTCTCTCTCCCTTTTGCTTGCAAGAACTTTGCAGAACTTCCCCCTGCTCTTTTTTTTTGTTGTTGTTGGTTTTTTTTTTCCTTTTTTCTTTTCCTCCAGTAATCAAGACAGTGGAAATTTATTCTGCAGATGGCCTGGTATATACAAATTAATTTACTGTTATCTTGCATGTATCATGACAAAAACATGCATTTATTCTGGGAGATTTTTTCCAATCTACTCCTTACTATTATCACTCAACAGCTTCTTCAACACAGTAGCGGCCATGGGCAGGGCATTCCTCAGGAACATGGACGATGGTAACTAGCTTCATCTTGTGCATGCCAGCTGGGCCTTGGTGAAGGACTGAATCTTTCCATCCTTATATAACCCATTAAACTTCTTCAGGGACGTGCATCTCATAAGGTACCCAACTAGAGACGGCTATCTCTGAAGTCACTGGTGTAGCTGACTAAACAGGAATTCAGTCAGTTCTCAAAAAATGAAGGTTCTTCCAACAGCTGGTTTGGACAGTGAATCAAAGTTATAAGAGATAAACTTTGTGACTGACTACAGATGTAAATGCATCTCCTTTCCTGTTTCTTAAAACAAGATTTTCAAAACCTCAATTAACTGATGATCCAAACATCCACTGAGATATAGCAGTGTCTAGAAAATGCAAAGCCTCATTCAAACATCAGGTAAGCAAGTAACAGCCCTCTTCCCATGGCTACATAACCACCAGAACCTCTGATGGCATCAGCCTATGAGTTAAATTCAGTGACTTTTGATATCTCTGCTAAAAAATACCTGTCAAATACTAAAATCACTTTAGGGTTCCATATTCCACTCCAGGAAATCCAGCACAGATATGAACACAGGCGCTGTACCACAGGCCCAAGCTGTCAAGACATGTCATGCATGTGCAACCTACACATGCCCAGTAAACCAGATGCACTATGTGCTGCAAGTTGAACACATCCCGGATCAGACTTACCGCATATAAACTCTACAGTTGTTCACTGCACACACAGGTAAAGTTCCCTAGGACACCCAGAAGCCTCACAATGATGATTTAATTAGCTTTTATTTACCTAGGATGAATTTCCAAGTAAGAAGACAATGTTCAGCAAAATCCAACACCTATTGTTCCTATCCTACCTGGATTTGGCTGAAGATACTCTGTGGATTTGGACAGAAGCTCTGCTACAGCTTTATTAGTAACATCAATTTTCTGAAAAAGAAAAGTAACACAGTTGGCAAAAAGCAAATCAATTACTAAAAAGTGTATCATTTTATTAGACATAATATACTATTCTAGATTCATGATTCTCTAGATTCATTCTAGAGAATGAAATTTTATTTAAAATACAGCAAATGTTGTAGCTTGAAATAAATAGCCACATCATAGTTATGACAGGATTTTACCAAAAACATATTCATTGGCAGGTAGTACCGGGAAGGAGAGAAGGTTTATATCATAATGTAGGCATGCCTTTCCAGCCCATCAGTCTTGACTACTGTTTACACATCCTAGACTACAATTTTCCTGCCAGCCCAACAGTTGTTACTAAGACTGCTTTTCTCTACAGGTGAAAAAGACTGGACATATCCCTCACAATCTTGGGGTCATAGCCATTTAAAGCAGTAGTGTGCACTGTCTTCCCATTTAATAGTTTCTAAAATGCTAGAAAAAAAATCACATTTCTGGTATGTTGCCCTTTTCCTCCCTCTATGGCACATTATTTTTCCCCTTATAATGCAGATAAAGGAAATAATTATTCTGTAGCCAAAGAAAATGAAACCTAGAAACCTTTTTATATCATAAATTCAAAAGTGCATGTTGGTAAGAAAAAAAAAAGCAACAAACCAACAACTAATGCAAGACTTTTTACCTCAATCTGCCAACAATAAAAGCTGTGACCTAGGTCTACTATGAACATTAAAAAATACACAGAAAGCCAAAGGTAATTAAAAAAAACCCACATAAAAGCTGAGAAAGCAGAAACTGGCAGTAACATTTTTTAATTTGCCACAACAACCAATAAGAGAATAGCAAACATCTCAATTTCCACAACAATTAATGTAAATTTCTAAACATCAATTTAAACTAAGAAATATAATTCTGTATCAAAAGAAAATCTGACCCTAGGAGTTAGATTTTTATCATTAACAGTATCAGATAGGAAGGCTTTGTGATATTTACAAAGACACTTGACACTGAAGTCTCCAGTCTCTCCAATCTCCCACGCAGACAGAGGAGAAAGGCCCTGCCTGATGCTCTGCACCATTCTTGGAGAAGTTTCTCTTCCCTGTTGAGAGGTGTCGGTGGAACCTGCTGCCCCTGATCAGACAGCCTCTGTGGATGTCTCTTCATCCTTGGCTGAGCTGACAAGGCTCAAGGACAAATTTGCACTTATCCTTATGTATTTCTGTTCGGAAGCATATGGTGGGGTCGTCCCCCTGCCCCCAGGTAAATCTACAATACCATTCTATCACGTAATATTGAAAAACAGGTTACTTTCCTTACCCTTTCCATCTCTTGAAATTCTTCATCTAACTTTGTTCCTTCTGCGCCACTTATTTTTTCACTGAACAACTGTAAAAAGATAAATTTAACAACAACAAAAAAAAGCATGATTATTTACGATTATTTAATTACAGAAGAAGTATCTCTAAGAGTCACAGAAATTCACTCCAGATTAGAAAATATGCAGCAACCATTTGAAGCCATTGTGCAAGAGAAGTGTAACCTTAGTCTTGGAAGCAAAGCACTCGTTTCAAGAGAGATAAAGATACAAAGGCATAACTGACACTGCAGACTTCGGGCACAAGGACCAGAGTTTGACTGCAGGTAAATCCAGAGTATGTCAAGTGTGTCCCTCCAGCTCCGTACTTCTGAGTACCTTCTAGTCCTGTATGCCGTTAGGTTCAGGGATACAGCTCCCATTC